TATATATTAACACATATTGCATCCTCTTATGAATTTACCCTTTATCATTATATGATTTTCTTTGTCTTGTTTCATAGTCTGTGGCTTTAGGTCTACTCTCTTTAGTCTAAGTACAACTGTTCCTGCTATCTTGTTTCCCATTTGCATGGAATATCTTTCTCCATCCCTTTAATTTCAGCATATGTATGTCGATGTTTTTTAAAGGTGAAGTGGGGGCTGGTGAAGTAAGTCTCTTGCAGGCAGCATATAATTAGGTCTTTTTTATTTTTTTATTCCATTCTGCCACCTGTGACTTTTTATTGGAGAATTTAATCTATTTATATTCAGAGTATTCATCGATACATAAGGACTGACTGCTACCATGTTGCTAATTATTTTCTGGTCATTTTGTAGAGTCTTGCTCCTTTCTTCCTCTCTTACTGTCTTCCTTTGTGATTAATTTTCTTATTGTTATGCTTTGACTCCTTGTTTTATTTTTTTTGTGTATCAACCATAAGTTTTTGCTTCGTGGTTTTCATGAGGCTTATAAAAAACTATATTACAGCGATAATAGGTTATTTTAAGCTGRTAATAACTTAAATTTGGCCACAAAAAAATTTAAAACTAGTGTTGGAGATGTAACACYATGATAGAACACTTGCCTAGCAGACATGAGATTCTGGGTTGGATCCTCAGCACTGAAAAAGAAAATACTTTATACTTTTACTCTATCTCCACCTCATTTTGAATTTCTGTTGTCACGATTTATTTTTTATATTGTGTATCTCATAACAAATAGTTTTGTCCTTTAATCTTTAGATCAAAGATACAAGTGATTTATACAACACCATTACAGTGTTAGTCTTCTGAATTTAACTGTGTACTTACTTTTACTAGTGAGTTTCATGTATTTTTGTATTACAATTACAACCCTTTTAGCTTGAAGAGTTCCCTTTAACCTTCTTGTAACACAGGTCTGATGATGATGAACTACCTCAGCTTTTATTTGTATAGGAAAAACTTTATCTCCCCTTCCTTTCTGAAGGGCATATGTTTAGATCTTTTAAAAACATCTATTTGCTGTCATTTTTTTGACTAGAAGTGAGAGTTAAAATAAGTGCCTACATATAATCCATGATCTTTAGCTGGACATTCTCTACACTTAAATTTTTCCTTCATATGTAAATTTAATTCTAAAGTTAACTAATAGGATAACCCTCCCTCCAGAATATCTTCCCTAACTTAATGCTATTTTCCATCCTACCCAATTTATAGGCTACTATTGTCTACAATTTAACTCTAATTTTTATATTTCACAAATAACACATTAATGTTTTATATAAGTAAGATTTGTTAGGTTACCAATTTCTTTGCTTGAAGCTCTTTTTCTATTTCATACTTCAGAAGGCATTTTTCTTATTCTTTGAAATACAGTGTCAAAGTGTGGTTTACAGATCTACAGAGTCCCTAAGACCCTTTTAAGGTCCCACATGCTAAAATCACCTTTATAATAGTGCCAACATGTTGCCTGTTTCTGTGCATTGACACATACGTTGACAGAGCAAAAGTAATGATAGATAAAACTTCTGTTGCCTTAGCACAAGTCAGAGCAGTGGCATCAAACTATGCTAGTACTTGTTGTGTTCTTCACTGATGTACATTCACAATAAATTTCTAAAATGCCAGTTTCACTTAACAATGTGCTTGGTGAAGCAGGAAAACAATATTAATTTTATTAAATCTTGACCTTTGAGCAATGTCTTTTTAATATTCTCTGTGACAAAAAAAAATGGAAAGTACAAAGGGCACATTTGCTGAGTACCAAAGTAATGATGGTTGTCTCAAGGAAAAACACTTGTGCAATTGAGTTGCAAGCTGACGTAAGTGGTTTTTTTCATGGAACACCATCTTTACTTGAAACGGTGACTGACAGGTGAACTATGGCTATTCAGACTTGGATAATTAGCGGACATTTTTTCAAAATCAAATGAAGTGAGCCTGTTACTTCAAGGAAAACAACTGGCAGAATTTGTGGCCAATGATAAAATTCAGGTTTTCAAGCAAAAAGTAGAATTTTTTTAAAAAACTCATATTTGCTACCATGAGCTTGACAGCAACCCGAAACTTGTATTTTTCTAATGAGATCAGTGGTGGATGCTAATGAATGCTATTTGTGTGTCAATGTCTAAAAGATCTGCTTAAGTCAGTGAACTAATATTGTCAAATAGAGTTGCTTAAATTTTAAAAATTAATGAATTGGCTAAAAAAAGAAGTATTAGAAGATTGAAGAGAAAAATATTTACAGATGAAATGAAAGAAATTTACCCATAATACAACACAGAAATACAAGGGGATGGAAAATATCAAGGAGAATTTATCATCAATAGGTCTGTCCCTATTTTGAAAATCTATGTAGTTTCTTTCATATCTTCCTACTTATCTTCCTACTTATTTTGGACAGCTCCTTATTGCTTTCTTGTTTCTGAGAGATACCTGGGTATTTCTTTAAACATTTCATATATTAYCATTTAATATTCTACATCTGATAATTCCAATTAGAGCTCTAACTCCTTCTTTTATTGTTTCTGCTGATTCCCATAATGGTGAGACAAGGCTTTTTCTTCTGTCATTTTGGTGATCCTTGATTTTGAGTTTGGTAGATCTCAATCTACAGGAATCCAAAGGACTAACTGAGGTTGTCTTGCTCCAGGGCAGGTTCGCTCTTGCTTCTGGTGACAGCCAGGGGGCGGTAGACCTGAAGCTGCCTTATCTCCCTTCCAGGTTCCGTTCACTTGCCTTGCCTGGAGCCCAGAGCTTTTTCTCCTGATTGCATTTGCTTACTGCTCATTACATCTACTTTCAAATTTTAACAAACTTTTTTTTTCTTTTTTAACATACTTGGACGTTGCCCTCATTTCCCACAAATCTAGCACCAYGTTTAAAATTGCAATGTTACTCAAGCGAAAATCATAATATAATCAAAACAGAACTTTATTTTTGCCTCCCACTGTTCCATTAGGTTTTATTTAGCATGGGTAATGTTTCTTTTAAGCCTGGATGAAAAACAGTCTTGGTTCAGAAACTAGAATGCCCAATTCTGGATAGTAATTATAACTCTGTGCTTGACTTAGCAGTAAATCTCCTCCTCTCTCAGCTTGGTTCTGCTTCAGGCTGAAAGCCTACAATGACAAAGGARTGGGTTGGTTTCTTCCCTAATTCACTGCCTTGTGTTTCTCTCCTCCCTCTTCCTTTTCCCTCTCCCCAAACAATGTCCTCAGGGTCAAAAGAGGAAGATGGCCAAAGAAGGAAGGGACAATATATTTTTACATCAACTAATAACCTCATGATCTGAAGGAACTGTGCCCTTCCAAGGTTCCTATAACTAAACATCTTTCTCCTGCAGCYTCTAGTTCCAGTTGGGTGCATTTATAACCTGTGGATTCCTCATTTAGTCTTTGTATACCAGCCTCTATAATCTCAGAACTCTCATTCCCTCCAAGTGGCAGCTCTAAGAGAAATGGCTCTTTCTTTCTCCCAAGTGCCCACAAGTAGTCCTTTAGTCACAATGAGACAGGATTTATAACACACACACACACACACACACACACACACATGCACGAAAAAATCCTAGACCAATCCCTTCTCATGTATAATAAGAGAGTAGTTAGTCATCTCTTGACCTGAAGATTTCCAACATCAGAGTCAAACCCCATCCCACATGTCAGATCTCTGGGTGCCAGAGAAGTTGTCCTCAGTAGACCTCAGATGTGGAAGGAAGTAGCTCCCCCTCTTTGGGGTGGGGTGAGAAAGTGGGGCTCACAGAATTATTTTCTCCAAAGAGAGTCTCCCCCCTAAATACATTCTTTCTTCCCATGCATTGATCCTTTTCCAGATCATTGATCTACTAGGTCATGGAGCTAGTCCTCAGAATTTTTATACTCTCTTTGGTACTTCTCATATTGGTGTTTCAAGCAAAATTCAGGGCCTGTTCTCCATCATGAGCATGTTTTATCTGAGCTCCAGCTATATATTTAATTCCTCATACTGGAGGAAACAGAAGCCTAGCTAGTAAACTTGATGTGAATTTACGCATTTGAATTTTGTAAATATCTAATAAAATGAATTAAAAATAAAGCTCTGGTAATTTTAGTCATATATTGAAGATCCTGAGCTGTAAAGAATTGACACAGCCATAAATCAATGTCGTTTCTGAGAATTATCAAGTACACAATTKTGAAGTCCTAGTTTCTTCACTAGGCATTGTGCTTCATGCGCCATGTGACACGAACACGTCTGAGCCCACTTCTACCTCATTTGGATGCACATGAGGCTATTTATTCCCCCAGATACACATTGTATAATTATTTTCTGCTCTAGTAAATGAGCGGCTTAATTAGCACCTTAATTTGATTTTAAAGGCTGAAAAATATAAGTAATATTGCATCCTTTTTAGAAAACCATCTTCTAAATAATCACACTTTATGTCTACTCTTAAATATGCAAACTGTACAATATTCATACAAAAAATAGAAAAAAGCAGCAGCTACTAAAAGCTATTTTGGGCAATTAGGAGGAATTCTCTTGTTTACATTAGAGGAGAAATAGTACAAAAGTAACTGAACACATGCCAGAATAATTAGCAGCTCTTGGCTCATTTAAATTATGTGCACATTGCCATTTTAATGCATTTTTTAAACAATCACTTGCAATCCTTATTTTATCCTTGGAAGAATATTAATAGCTTTCTACTAGGTATGACTAGTAAAACCAGATTTGTTTCCTGTTTTCCTGGAAAACATAAATCTTCCTGGCTTTATAGACCCACTTTTAATAATAATTAAAAACATAAAATAATAATAATCATAATTTGAATTTATAAAATACTTCTGCATGAAAACTGGAGGCATCATTTTATATAAGACAATTTCTCTGAAGGAATATCACGCTGTTTCTTTATGCTTGCCATATAACATGTTGATTCTAAGGATCATCTAATATTAATAATAAGAGGATTAAGACTGTGATTTTCGATTTCAAGCAGCGCTCCCCGGGCTCGCAGCGAGAGAGTGAGCGCGGGCACCACAGCTGCCCTCCCAGCCGCGCCGGGTGGTGCGGCCCCAAGATGGCGGCCACCATGAAGAAGGCGGCTGCAGAAGATGTCAATGTTACTTTTGAAGATCAGCAAAAGATAAACAAATTTGCCCGGAATACAAGTAGAATCACAGAACTAAAGGAAGAAATAGAAGTAAAAAAGAAACAACTCCAAAATTTAGAAGATGCCTGTGATGACATCATGCTTGCAGATGATGACTGCTTAATGATACCTTATCAAATTGGGGATGTTTTCATTAGCCATTCTCAAGAGGAAACACAGGAAATGTTAGAGGAAGCAAAGAAAAATTTGCAAGAAGAAATTGACGCCTTAGAATCCAGAGTGGAATCAATTCAGCGGGTGTTAGCAGATTTGAAAGTTCAGTTATATGCAAAATTTGGCAGCAACATAAATCTTGAAGCTGATGAAAGTTAAACATTTTATAATACTTTTTTTATTTGTTTAATAAACTTGAATATTGTTTGAAATGATAATTTCCCTTCTTCAAATGATATGGAAAGGAAAATTTTCTCTTTTTAAACTTTTCATTTATTTAATGGAAACTTGCCTATTTTCACATGTCGTGCTTATTTATTTTATATTTTTGAAAAAAGACAGTATTCATCTATGTATTTTGCATAACTGTTATATCAAGTTTAGGGGCTTTATGTCATGTTATTAAAATCAGTTAAGCAACAACAACAAAAAAAAAGACTGTGATTTTCTTTTTCCAGAAAATACCCAAGTGACTCCCTCATAACAAATGTAGAACATGAATTTTACACATTTGCTTCTAAATGTAAAGTCCCTGATGATTATTCACAAAGTAGTGATTAGCAGGAAGTGCATGTATAAGATAAAAACGGGGGGGGGGGAAGATAGCTATTTCTCTTTTTGAAGACATAAATGCAGAAAATTTGGTCGTAAGGCAGCAGACCCTTTGATCTGACAACTGTAATCCAAGCCAACAAATGCCATCATGGAAATATTACAGCATACACAGAGCAACTGTGTCTAAGAGATGCCTCACGTAGACTTGAGAATATGTGGAAAACTTAAACACAACCTGTCYATGATTATCCTGTGCCCAGTCTGCTGCAGGCCCCAGCTAGATGCCATGTGAGGACACAAAAGTACCTAGGACAAAGGGGCTTCCAGTCTATTGAGAGAAATAAAAGGGACATAGGTAGTTATGATGCCAAGGTAGAGAGTCAGAAAATCCCTCAAAGGGAATCAGACAATATGCTAAAGAAATTCACAGAAAGGAGATATTACCAAGAAAGTGGAACAGCCCCCTCAACCAAATGGCCAAATAAAGCCACAGATGTGAATGTACCTCAAGGTGGGTCCTTTTGGACTAAATAATAAACATTTGTCACAATCATGGAGCAGAGACACAGTCTCACTTCAATCATAGGGCCTCTGTTTCAATGAATTATACAGAAATAAAATAATCAGGATGCACCTGTCTTGGAAATGTCTAAAATGAAAAGATAATGAGGCAAGGTCAGAAAATATGATTGGTCAATCCAAAAAGATGAAAGCAAATCCTCTGGTTGAGTAATTAACCTAGCACRTGCTATTTTACATTGAGCCTCTTTAGTTTTTGGTGCAAGACGCATATAGGATATTTAGAAGAGGTAATGAGGTTCTGCCAGATCTGAACCTGGAGTGTAAGGGAACTGTCACGTGAAGGAGGAGTCTGGTGCTTTGTGACCTTTCTTGGTGCTGACACTGAGAATTAGAAACTACTAGCACATAAGTTGAGACCAAGTGAAATGAGGAAACTGCATTGTTAGCTCATGCCAAGTTTTCTTCTGCCTTCCATTAGCATCTCTGTTTTTCTCTTTGCTTTGAAAGAAAAATGACTAGTCATAATAGTACTTTTTTATTTTTTGGAAGCTTATTCTTTTCATTTGATGATCTACAATCAGGCTACAATTGTGGGGACCAGGTACATTGCCAAGGTTCTTGAAATTAAGCATTCATCACTTTCAAGATATAAATGCTGTAATAATATTCATATTATTTTTCACATTCTTGACAACCAAGTAGCAGGTATAAAATATTCCCTTTAAAATTAATAATTTTTGCAAAAGTATAAAGATCTGATTATATATTTTAAACAGCTCTTCTAGCACATGTAGCTACYAGTTTGTGAGATGATTTAATTTGACATAGGAAAATTAATCAACATTCTGCCTTTGATCCACGCATGCAATCTCATTGATTTAAGGGGAATCTATCTTCAAGGGCCAAGGGTAAAATCATTCCATAATTATCTTTACAAATCTAGTAACTATATTTATTACGAAGCCACTCCACTTTCCACACACTGACTTTTTGAAGAGTGCATATATTATATTCTATCGACTTTGTTCCTTCCATATGCAGAGTATGAGAAATTTGTAATACAAAATAACCAGAACAAGGATTTATCTGAGTTSATGGTAGTGAATACTCCTGGATGTCTCAGAGAGARACACAAGTTTATGCTTACTTCTTTATGGTATAACCTGGGACATAGCCAAAGTCATCTGACTCTCCCCTCCACATTAACATTTAGCATTAATACTGATATGGATTCATATATGTAAATCTTGTGTTTTTTCTTGTCCTTCAAGATGATAGTTTTAAACTTTTGAAAGTTTCTTCCTAATCTATCTCCAAGACTCACACTCTACCACTTACCTCTGCAGTACCCTGTAGTCACATTTCCACAATATGATATGGAACTTATGTATTGAGGAAGGAGTCTGGTGCCTTGTGAYATCTCTTGACATTTCTTAACCACTAAAAAGGGCACATCTCACTTTCAAAACCAGAAAAAAAAAAAGATAGGTAAAAATACCAAGAAATTAAACCAGTTCACAGAGCTTTTTTAAAATAAGGCATCAGTTCCAATTCTCAAGCTCACAGAAAAACAAATTGAATAGGATGCTGTAGATTCAAAATGTCATAGAACATTGTTTCATTCTAAAAAGAACTCCAAAGTCTGTTATTTCTTTTATGTGTATACATGAATAAGAGCCTGGGACTACATGCAGGGGAATTAGAAATGTTTTAGATTTCTCTTTGCTATTTAAACAATCAACAATGTGAAGAGAGAGCCTACAGAATGGGAGAAAATCTTTGMCACCTGAAACTCAGGACATTGATATCTAGGATATACCAAGAACTCAAAAACCAAACACAACCCCCCCCATAACCCAAAGGAACAAAGGAACTGAACAGATACTTCTCAAAAGAAGAAATACAAAGGGTCAACAAATATATGAAAAAAAAGTTCAACATCTCTAGCAATTAGRAAAATTAAAATTAAAATAAACCATGAAAAAATGTGGCATTTATACACAATGGAGTATTACTCAGCACTAAAAAATAACAAAATCATGGCATTTGCAGGGAAATGGATGGCATTAGAGCAGATTATGCTAAGTGAAGCCAGCCAATCCCTAAAAAACAAATGCCAAATGTCTTCTTTGATATAAGGAGGGCAACTCAAAACAGAGCAGGGAAGAAGAGCATAAAAAGAAGATTACCATTAAACAGGGACGAGAGTTGGGAGGGAAAGGGAGAGAGAAGGGAAATTGCATGGAAATGGAAAGAGACTCTCATTGTTATACAAAATTACATATTAGAGAAGGTGAGGGAAAAGGGAAAAAAACAAGAGAGAGGAA